CTCCTCCTCCTCCTCCTCTTCCTCGTCCACCGCCTCCGTCGTCGTGCTCTCGCTAGGTGGAAGGTAGTGTCAACTACATCCCACGTTTGCTCCTCTCGGTGGAGACATTGAGTCTGCGAGAAAAGACAAAGCAAATATCCCGAAAATTATATCAGAAATTATTAGCATAGCAATATTAATGAGATCATATCAGTAATCGGAATCAATATTTGCTTTCTCATAGATATTCGATACATTATGGTTCTTCTCCGATATATATGTATTTATATTTCATTCGTTTGCTGCTAAGCAAACGTCAAATGTCAATAACCGTGAGAGACATGCAGAAACGTTTCCTCATGAATGCTTCTGTGCGATGACAAAAGGGAATTTAAAGTATAAACTAATACGTGACTTTTATTAAAATCTTTATAACCGAGATTAACTTCCCTGCTGCAGCCGAGATACGGCTATTCATTCGACACAAGTATAAGTATCTGGTTTCGCGCGACAGACGACTTGCCTTAATCCCCGTCATCGCGCTTTAGAGACACTCTAGTGGCGTATTAAAAAAAAAAAAAGAGGGAAAAACGAGACGGAGGAAGAAGAGAGAGAAAGTTCTTTTGTCGTACTTCGGTACGGCATGAGACTAGTGTCAAGCGTACCGCGAAAAGCGCAACCAATGCTGCGGGGCTTCCACTCTGTTTCCCTGAATTCGCGCGAAAGACTTTGCACTTTTTCTCTCCTCTCTCCTGACCGCCACTTCATCTTTAAGGGGATCCTAAAATCGTCTGTTTTACCAATTCAGGACTTACACATATACGATTTACGTGTCACTAACACATCACACTAAGGTAAACGTCCCAGTGACCGGACATGTACCTATTTAAGGAAGTTGTAAGGCAAATGCAATATGTTAAGAACTATTTAAAAAAATTACAGACTATTTTAAATTTCATTTAATAATAATACAAAAAAAATAGAAACAATTGACCATCTGGATCAAAAGTTATTTAAATAAGTAGTAATATTTTTTAAATTTGTACTCTAATATAAATATATGCAAATGTATTATAAAATAATGATAAAAATCTCAATTTTTTTATATAAATACTCTAGGAATTCAACAATATTTTTGTAAAGTTATCTTGAGATGCAGACATTAATTGTTCAGTAAATAAATAAAATTTGTTATTTGTTAAAAACTAATGGTGAATCTCAATGAAACTTTGCATAAGTCATGTTTAGTATTTAATATGTTTATACAAAAACATTTAGATTTTTCTTATTATTTTAACAATTTTTGTTTATAACAATAAAACTAATAACAAATAAAATAAATAACCTATAAAAATGTGTTGCTCAATAAAACCAGAATGTTATGAACACAACTTTCAAATGTATGTAGTTTATTTAAAGCGAAAATATTAATATATGTGTTTTATGCCCTTACAACCTCCTTAACAGTGTATGTCCGGATAATTTTTTTTTTACACAAAATTTATTATTATTAATCTCAAACGTTTCTTTTATTACAATATTATTATAATATTGTGTTTAAAGATTACAATTAAATTATAATATTATATGTATTTAATTTTGCGTAAAATACACTGTTACATTTACAGTGTCGAATTTAACTAATTTTAACTTGTCACTGCTTTACTCAATATATTGTTATTTTATACTGTAGTAATGAATAGATTTGACACTGTATAGTGTTAAATTTATTGAGCAGGAGCAGTGGCGATTTAAATTAGTCGAATTTGACACTATAGATTTAACAGTGTAGATACATTTCCGGTCACTGGGACGTTTACCATATTACATCGATATTGCACACGCACATATGTGCAAATTTTCCAACTAATTAATCTTCCATATTAGTCTAAGTCTAGATATCGTTAACAGATTGGACACTGTTTAGACCACTTCTGATTGGTCTGCCATATTTTTCAAGACTTGCTTAAGAGATGCATGGATATCTCATTCGATTTTAAGAGTCCTGAAAAATATGATGGACCAAACGTATGATGTCCAATCTCTTACTTGAGAATCTCTATCTAAGTCTAATTCTAAGAACACAACATTGTTTGATCAATCCTAGTCCAAACCAAGATTGTTTTATACGTATAAAGTATAAAACTTTTATTTAAAACAAATATTGTTACGAGTTGACGCCAGAAATCGATAAAAAACTGTAATTTTCCAACTCTTTTTCGGGATAAAGTCGACTGATTTGGACTACGTTACCGTTTACTCAATTATGTATGGGTATATGGAAAGAATTTTTTAATCTTTATATAAAGGCAGTGTTAGAAAAATACTTATTTGAAAAATAATGGATAAAACAGACGACTTGAAGATCTTAATGAGTTACTTATTCATCATTCGCGAGCAAACCGGACACGTTCGAAATACATCTCAAACTTATCAAGCGTTTGCACTTCCGTTTTCGGAGTACAAACTATAACGCGTTTACTCTGCGATTTCCGCGTGTCAGCTGTTATACGCCACTTACCGAACTCGAAAGCGAGAGAATGGATTATCGATGATCAGACAGATCCTTTTTTTTTTTTCGCTAACGCGCAGTAATCTCCTGAATCTTAATTCCGACATGGTAGAAAATATGAAAAAGACACGATAGAAAATATGAAAAAAATCTCTCGCGCGTCTGTTACACGAATAAAAATTCCATTAACGAAACTTTCCGATCCGACGTTGCATTTCTCCGTCGACGAGAGATTTACTTGTTTCATGAAAAAAAATTCAAAAAGACAAAATTAACTTACGCCACGTCTTCGGGTATATGTACTGCGAGAGTTTGCGAGAGGTTCGCTGTAATAAGCGCGTTTTAATACGGAAGGTAACACCGTCGGAGCAGCTTGCGCAGAAAATGTCGGGCCGAAGTTTCGAACCTGCTATCGTCCGGAATCACAATTCGATCGCATCTCTCTCGTGCGCTCGTCCTGTCGTCGATAACACGAGGATGCCTACTCGCGGGGATGCGGCGGCGCGGCGGTCCAATTACGGACGTATTTCACTTGCCGACTTGTCTGCTTAAACGCGCGCCGCTTCGCCGTGGCGGTCTTAATATACTCGCAGGGAATTTTGCGTGTCACGAATTAGATCCGCCTGTGCAACGGCGCATCCGAAAGAGCCGTGCCAAGACAATTAATTCGCACAATTAACCGACATTTGTATAAATAGACGAAATAGAGACGGCAAATAAAAAATGCGTTTATGCCTTAATAAATCATTTTCTCTCATAGCGTTCCGACGATCAAAGGGTTCTTATATCGAATCGTACGGAAAAAAAAAAAAAAAAAAACGGTTCAAAGACTTAAAATATATTCTCGATTCGATTAATTCTGCTTCACTTTCAAGAATATTGGAACATCGCTAGTTTTACGTATCGGAAAGGCAAAGCCTGTTAAGGCGAATTAACCTCCGGAGATGAGAATCAGTAAGCAAAGTTTAGCCTTTCAATTTCAGGTGGATTTTGCTGTAATAAATTGGTTTTGTGTGGAGTTAAAGTTTAACTACCAATTAAAAGAGGTTCAAAAATTCTTCAGAATCTCCGCCTCCTGATTCTCCGCCGAGGAGACCCGGGGCTCTCCCGATCGAAGGATCTCTTCGTTAAGTATTTCGCCAGTCTTGTCTTTACCGCGTGGGAAACGCCGGGGGTAGAGGACATACTCGAAGGAAGTAACGTACTCGATAACTGCCATAATTGCGACAGATTCCTCATCGAATGCGGCCAGTTCGATATCCCTGGCGAGGCGGTCGAACTGCTGCTGCGGCAAGGGCGTGGAAGGATGCATGTTGCGCCAGGTGTGCAACGCGATTACCTCCCTGTTAAGTGCGCATGGCATGCTCGACGCCTGTAATTATAGAAATGCCAGCGATATTTAAACCTTTTTGCAACAATATCGTGCAGGAATATACTTTGGGTCCATCGCGAATACTGGACGGCGGATAGAATTTAACGTTAAGGATCGACTTCTTGAGAAGAGGGACATTTTTTTCTTTTAATTCAATATTAACTATCGTAATTAAATTCTAATTTGACAAACTTTTTTATAATTATTAATAAAATACATGAACAATATTTTGTTATTATACTTGTAAATAACTAATAATATTGTACTTAATTTATGTATCATGTGAGATTATAACGAAAGTTACGTCAAGTTACGAGATCACATTTTATTTTTTAAATTGTACCTTTCTACTGAATGTATTTTATGTTAATATTTGGATTTTTAAATAGAAAATCATAAGATTCTTCGCGTGTTAAAAATTATATTTCACACCCTTATTATTTTCATATTGAAAAGAAGGACAATTCATAATCATGTCCAACTGGGGACAAAATTTCGGACAAAATAGAACTGTCCCTCCTAATTTGAGGTGACCGGTCACCTTAACAGCCTATCTCTCTGAGAATCGAATAATTGGAGCATTTGAAATTCCAGACAATCGTCTGGAAAATATTTAAAAGGACTCTTTACGTTATCACCTATATTTCGTAACTGTCTGGTACAATATTACAATCGTGCGACATATAAATAAGTTCTCGTCTGTCCCGAAGTTTAAATAATACACGCCTTCTCCTTTTAATCTTCAGATTCATCCAGTGTTCGCGCGAAACCCAAAATTAGTTTCTCTTTACACGCGAACGGAGAACTGTCGAGAAATCAACGATATTACTTGGCTGAATCAATGGCGTTTTATGCCGGTCGACATTTACCGTGGGGAAACAAAAGCGCACGTACTTCGCCGTTTGTTATTCGTTGGTATTAACGTTTCCGCGGACAGTGTTTCTCGCGCGACGAGTAGGCGCGAACTTCAGTATCGAGCTTCTCGTAACGTTTGCGAAGGTCGAACGGCGTTCGCGTCCGCCTCGAGATAATCGGAAGCGAGTGACGGGACGTCGTTCGAAAATCGATGCGGGCTTGTAATTTTTACCTTACGTCGTCTAACGACGGCATTGAATTGTTCATCCCTCTAGGTAGCCTCATTTCATTATACGCGGAACGTATAAAATAGCTCGGCGAATCAAATTTCTTAATAATGATATCTTTAACATTTAATGTTACATTTCTTTCCATTTTATCGGCAAATCTCTTTTATATCGTTCGTACGACATAATCAAATAAGACTCGGTTACACAAATGTAAGATTAATTTTAATCCGAGATTAATTTAATCTCAGTTTAATTTACTATCTATCTTCTTTTAATTCTTCTCTCGAAATTCTTTCGAGCAAAATCTCATTTTAAAGAGAGAAAATACTGTCGTCGCTCTTGAACAATAGTGGCAGTATTTTCACTCTTTCCAAGTGAGATTTCACTTTTTTGAAGTGAGAGTCTTACCAAAAAATTTAGAGAGTTGGAAATGGAAGAAGACAAATAGATAAAGATAAATAAGTTAACGAGATCAAAGTTGATCTTATGGAACTAGGTCTAAGTACGTGAATTACAGTATTTTGAAAAGCCTACACTGAAAGAAAAAATTGGTCGCTGCAGCCAATTTTTGGATTTTTGGAAATTAGATGGTAAAAATATAGCATAGCATTTTTAATTGGCTGCAGCAGCCAATTTTTGGTTGCGTTAGTCTCTATCTACAATATCAGTATAGGATTTCGATAACCAAAAATTGACTGCTGCAATTAAAAATGCTATGCCATCTAATTTGCTGCAGCAGCCAATCTTCTTTTTTTTTTTCAGTGCAAAGGTGTTCTTAAATGTACTGTTAATGTTGCATGTACAATACACAAAAATTACACGCTGCAGGATGTTTAGTTTGACTACTAAAGCGCAACAGAGCGTTAAAGGTGGTCCCGGGACGAAGGCGTTTAAATCGCAGTGGATGGTTGCCAAGAGGTCGGCATTACAGCGTTATCGCTACTTTACGCACTATGAACTCCGCGGTTTCTTTTTTCTTTACGAGAAATCTAGCCGCGTCATCTTAACCCGATTTCTTCACTGTAAAAAGAAGGATCGTATAACCTGGTTACGAATCATACAGAATAACGCAAGGAGAATTTCATGATTTTCAGAAATACCGACATAGCTTGCTGGGCACGTATTATGAGATTATGCAGAATGGATTTCGATCGGAATTGTTCAATTATTCTCTGAGGTAAACATTTTTGGTATTTGTGATTATAATTATGTTACCATATTATTACTGCGAAAATGTTAATAATGGCCATACATGAACATTTCTATCAATAAACCCAGCAAACATAAAGTTACCTGTAACGTACCCATTAATTGTAATTTCCCATTGAACAATATAACCCTAATATAACAATGTATGTCATATTACAGTTATATTGTTGAGTAGGGAAATTACAACTAACGGATACGTTACACGTAACTTTGCGTTTGCTGGGAATATATACAGGGTAAACTAGGGTATTATGGCCACAAGCCATCATTTTCTCCAACAATTGATAAATAGTGCATTCTTAAAGATAATCAATATTTACAGTAGTTCATATGAGTACACTGTGTTCAAAATAACAATATTATAAATATTATCAAATATTTTTTCTTCCGACTATCTGCA